TGGCAGGTTTTCTGTCCACGACTGCAAGGAGGGTGGAGGGGGGAAAAAAAAGACAAGGCGGCGGCAGTGGATTGATGGATTCCAAGCACGTCGCTGCAGCTGGGCACGTCCGACACCTGCACACACACACGGACCCGCTCCCTCTGCCTGCCCCCAGGAGAGCCCCCCGAAAGGGGCAGCCAGCCTCCCTGTGCCAGACCCCTACAGGGGAAATGGAGGGGAAAGGGGGGATGCATCCCCCGAGCAATAGGGACCGTAATGATGACAGACACCCTCTGCCACTGCCGGGGACCTGGATCCGCCTGGGGAGGTGACCCAGACCCACCCCGGCCACACAGAGACCACGTTCCACGCGCTTTCTTAAAGCTGGGGTGTCCTGGGAGGGGACGGTGCCACCAGTGCGGGGAAGGGAAAGGAGCCGCACCGCACCAGCTGCAGGCACACTCCTGCCGAGCTTCCCCCCGGTTTTTGCGGCGTCCGGGGCGGGGGGGGGCGCGAGGCGGCCCGGGGCTGCCGCGGGCACTGGGATGCGCAGGGAGGTTTTTCTGGGGAAATAATGCCTGTGAAATCGGGAAAGGTCTGAACTGGCAGGCAAAATTGCCCGGCTGGGTTTGTCTGTCTTTCTTTCTTTCTTTCTTTCTTTCTTTTCTTTCTTTCTTTTCTTTCCTCCTCTCCTTCTTTCTCTCCTCCTCTCTCTCGGTCCCCCTCCTCTCCCGCCAGCCCCCCCGCCGGGGGAGCACCCGTCCTGCTCCAGCCCCCTGCCCCGGCCGGGGGGGCTTCTGCCGGGTAATCCGAGGTTTGGGTTGTCCCAGATAAGGAGCGGAACCAGAAACCGATCCGAATGAAATTAAAAAGAGCTTTTAAAGGGAAAAAACAAAACAAACAAAACAAAAAAAAAACGCAAAAAGCCACAAACGCTTAAAGAAAGTCTGTGGGCCTTTCGGCAGAGACAGATATGCAAGTCAGAACACTCAGGCTCCAAGTTGCTTAAAATACCTCGAAAAATATGCTAAATAACGCGCGGGTCATCTTTCCTCCTTCGTTCATTTTCTTTCCCTCCTTTCTTCTGTCCTTCTTTCTCTCTCGCTTTCCTTTTCTTTCTTTCCCTTTTTCGTTTCCTTCCCTTCCTCTCCCTCGCTTTCTTACGCTCTGTTTCTCTATTTTTTTTTTCCCCAAAGAACTGGTTTACAATTATCTATTTTCACCCATCGATACTCGCAATAACTCATCCCGGGACAGCTGATGTTACAACTCGCAGCAGGTTGCCGTGGTTAAAAACGGTAAAGGGTCGTATAAAAAAAAAAAAAAAAAATTTAAAAACAAAACAACAATAAAGAAATAAGTGGGAAATGAATTGCGAATGTGTAAAAGAATAGAAAGTCTAATACCACGGAAAAGGAGAAAAATATCGACGGGGATTTTCTATCCAGAACAGATGAGTTGGGAGTTTTAAAACGAAACCGCCTATCGAGGAAACAAAGCTCCCACCAATGCACCGCAGTAATTAGCAGGAGAACCGTCCCAATTAGCGGCCGCTAATGTACAGGCTGAAATCAAAGCCGTGTGATTCTCGTGGGGAGTTTATCTTTAACTGCTCCCCACGGCGGGGGTTTATAACGTTATTAAGCCCCAGCCGAGCCGTGCCCCTGCCTGCGGTGCCCCCGGTAAGGTGGGTGCCGGTAGCGCCTCTTATCGCTGGGAATACGCGGGGGAGCCCCCTCTCCCCGGGAAGGGCTGGCCCTCCACCTCCCCGCTTCCCTGGCCGTTTCCAGCCCACGCCGCTGCAAACGGGGAGGAAAAATGATTTCCAGTGCGTAATCCCGAGGTGCCGGCTGGGGCCGGGCGGGACCCCGCGGCTGCTGCGGCGGGGGGGCCGGGGAGAACATATTATTTACAATAATAAATATTCAAGGAGGTAACATCTGCCTGGCGGTGGGGAGACCCCCACCGAGCCCCTTAGCCCCCCCGTTCCCGCACCGCTCCGGGGGGACCCCGCCGCCCCCC